AATGTATACAAAAACCTCATTGGCTAGATCCTGGATGAGGAAAAAGTTTAATAAGATATTCTGGAACAACAGGGGCAATTTATCTCCTACAAATCTATGTTAGATGTTATTCATTTATTGTTAATTGTCTCCGGTGGAGCAATGGCATTGTGGCTTCATGTATAAAATTCTTATTTCAAGGAGATGAATACAGGAGATGAATAAGTATACAGGGAGGAAGTGCCGTTTTGTCACAACTTACTTTCAAATGATTCAGCAAGACAAATTAGATAAAATACATGTGGTAAAATGTTAACAACTGGTGGATCTAGGGAGAGGCTATACTCTTGTACGGCCCTTTCAAGTTTAAATATATTTTAAATTCTTAATATTCATCAAGACCAATAGCATAAACTCAACTCTATGAACGACTTCTGAAACTACAAAATTATAACTGATAAATATGTATTGTGCTCTGTTATGTATTTATTCCTGGTGCCTTCCACAACCTCACACCCTTTCTATATAGCCCATCTCCTGGTTCCATTTACCACTCCTCCCCCTCAACCTTTCAGACCTAAAGGTGGTAACAGCACCATTACCAGTCCCAGTGCAACCGGGCCTGAGAACTGCATTCCCCCCTGGGGTTTCCTTACCCTGTGCACACAGTTTTGTAAAGTCCCTTTACTAAAGTTTCCTTAAATTATCCAATTGCAGTAAGTCATCTATTTCCTGCCAGCACCCTGATTGATAAAAAGCTCTGGAGACAGACTTGGAAGATGCCTGCATATTTTACATAGTGCATGGGATTGTAAGAATGGAGATGGTCTGGGAAGAGGGCCGAAGATGACCCTGGCCAGTTGAGCATCCGAGGTAGGAGAATGTAGAAGCTGTAGTTATTAGCCAAGAATGTTTCAAAAAAGAACGTATCCATTAAATCAAGTGCTGTTGAGAGGCTGGATGAAAAAAATGAGGGCTTTGGAGAATTCCCCATGGGAAAGCCATCAGTGATCCCTGGAGTGGTGGGGACAGAACCAACAATGGAGTGGATTATAAAGGCAGTTGTAGGTAAAGAATACACTTGTTACCTTAAAGGCGGGGAGGGATGCATAATTGTTCAGGCTCCTATTTTAATCATACCAATTACTTGCTGAGTAATCTTGAGATTTTTGAGACTTAATTTTTGATATTTAAAACAACCACTCCTTGTATGGAAATAAATTTCATATTTAAAAAAAAATACTCTTGGGGCACCTGGGTGGCTCAGTCAGTTAAGCACTTGACTCTCAGTTTCAGCTCAGGTCACAATCTCACGGTTTTGTGAGTTCGAGCCCCACGTCAGGCTCTGTCCTGACAGTGTGCAGCCTGCTTGGGATTGATTCTCTCTCTCTCTCTTCCTCTCTCCCTGCCCCTCCCTCACTCATGATGTCTCTCTCAAAATGAGTAAATAAACTTAAAAAAAAAGTTTTTTTAAAAAACCACCACTCTTTGTCATTACAAAAATGCAGAAGCAAAAACCATGGATTATGTTAAAGCTAGTAAGCTGTTAAGTATAGAGAACTGAAGTTCTACAATGGAGTAAATGATTTTTCCCCTTTCAAGCACTGAGACAAAAGGACAGGCTTTGCCAAAATCTCTTCAGTTCTCTAAACTGAAAGATTAGGCTCTTTCAGACTAAAGCCTGCAACTATGTATGTCCAAGACTCCCTAACCCAGCATACAGTAACAAGCAGTTTCTAACCAGGGTGCAAGATATCTGAAACCTAAAGCATTCTCATGATCACAATGAGTAACCAAACTCCACAGCTCGAGAAACTGTTAGAACCCTCAGATCCCTTTGAGAACATGAGTCTGTGAAATTATCTTTGATCCAATTTGGCTTTTTCCCCCTTTCCCAGTTCACTGAACATCACACAAAATGACTGCCAGAAGTACCACAATGCTAAATCTGGAACATTAGGAAGCTGTCATAGGGACGATGGATCAAGAGGCTCCCTGGGTACCTTCCATTCTTCACTGCAGAGCAAGCAGTTAGCTTTGGACACCTTCATTTATTTTTAGAATATCCAGTTGTTTCACTAAACTGCCTGAAGACTATTTTCTACACAAAAAGACAGTGTATTAATAGGCACAACATCAAAATTAAGAAACAAAACTTGAACAACTGATTTAGACAGTTAACAGCTAACCTCTCAGCCAGGGTAAAACTTGCCTCCCATCTTCATCCTTCAAGAGAGCAAGGTGACCACGTCCAAATGCAGGTTAAGACAGCAGAGACGGGGGCCGATTCAGACAGCAAAGGCTTTGGAATCAGGAAAGTTGATTTTATTTAAGTTACATGACCTTCTTGCACCTCTACTTACTCACCTGTGAACAGGTTTTGTGTTTTTTTTCTAAACTTTGCAAAGTTGTTTAAACAATGTTTAAAAGTGCCTGACCCACCGTAGGGGAACTTTTTTTTTTTTTTTTGTACTTGCTACAGAAAGCACTTGTAATGTAGGGCAAAGAGGCCCAATTTCAAGTTAGAAAAGAAAATGAGGTGCTGTTGCAGGCAACACTCTAAGATGTCCCTCATGGGCCCCACACCCCACCTCATGGTGTTCATTGTGTAACCCTCTTCATTAGAATGTGGGAAGGACCTGAGGACACTCCGACTCACCAGCAAACTGGCTCTGGAGACCTGCTGGCTCCATGCACCAAGCGGCCAAGTCAGGAGAACCCAGGTGGTAATGAGCCAAGGGGCCCCACAGCCAATAAGGAATCTGAACTCTCCATCCTAAAGCCACAGGACACAGATGCTGCTGACAACCTGAGCTTAACTTCAGGGTAACTTGGTAACTTCACCGTTAACTAAATTAGGTACTGGCAAATCATCTGCAAGATCCCAAAGCAAATTTAAGCCCTAACGATAGTACAGAAAGTTTGGCCCACAGGATCCACTTTTCCCAACTAATAAGCAATCTGTTTTTAAAACTTTGATATGGATTACATACATCCCTTTAGATTCCTCATAATTCTATAAAGTAAATAATTCTGGAAAGTAAATGATTTTACAGAAGTTTGGAGGCTCACAAATGCAAAGAGACTCAAATGGCTAATAAAGGGGCAAAGCCAGACATCAGAGACCAGGTCTGACCCCAATGCCCAAATCCAGCTTTCCCTATAACCAATTTTTATAATTTCTTTAAAGTCTCAATGACGATTCCCACTATGCCCATAGACAGTAATAATAAAACCACAACACAGACCTTAAAACACTGGAAACATTTAAAAAGTAATAAAATTAAGTTAAAATAAAATAGAAACGAAATCAACCAACCAACCGTTGAAGAGTCTTTATCCTTCATTGTTAAAATCATCTTATCTACTAGGTCAATTATTGGGCATGTCAATTAAAACGTCTTTTATTTTAAAGTATCTCTTGGTAAAGAGGCCTTTTTCTCTCAGGGCTTGTTATAATACGAAAGGGTTAAAACTGCGTATCTGTGAAGGTCAAAAACATTCTTACCTAAGAACACCTTTTCAACAAAGCCACAAAACATCTTCTTTCATTTTCTAGTAAGACTAAATTTATTCAATACCCTAGTAAAAGTTTTGATTATAAGTATCCAACAGTATAAAAAGTACAAAACAGATTTGTAGATTTCTAATATATTAATACAAAGTGCATGACTACATACAGTACATCCTACAGGCAAAGAGGTGGAAGGGGAAAAAGAAGGCTGTGGTTGAGGTCTAGTAATAAATAAATAAATACAGAAGTAGAGATGATCCATATTATAGTATATT